TACGATTTTCTCTTCTCTTCTCATCTCTCTCTCTAACCTATAAATACGAACCGTTTTTCTTAGTGGAAGACATTCGGTAGTTATCCTTTTTTGTGTTGAATAAACATATGGTCATTATCATCTCACAATGTCCGGAGTTCCTATGTATTTTATTTTAAAAAGAGAAATTTTGTTCAATTTGTGTATTTTAATTTAATTAATTGTTTGTATCCACCGATGAGGATTGAACTAGTCAATCGAAACGTTTGGAAATAAATAAATAAAGTTTCTTATGAAGGAAAAATATTTATCTATAATTACAAAAAAACTTGATAAAACCATTATGATCTAAGGAGATCAAAAATATTGATACCCTAAATAATGATACATGTATTTACTTAAATGTATACTTCGTCTACATGTAAAAAATGTAAATTCTTGTCATATTTTCTCTAACGAAAAGTTATTGGTACAACTTTCACTCTCGCGGTTTCGCAAAATAACAAGGTAAAAATAGAAGAAAAAATCCTAGTAAACACTAATTACAGTTAAAGAATCGAGTAGGTCAAGGTACTGAAAACCTTGTTTCGACGGGGAAAGCTTATAAAACAAGATAGCGTAACTGCAGAGGACGTTTGATCTTTTTTTCCATCGTTCGAAACAAACTACTTTCCTCTCTACGGTAAAAATAAAAGTGTTGTTGCCTAACCGACCGAAGTAATATTTGTGCCATTGCTTGAAGTACCTATATGTAAGAAAAAGTAATTAATTATCATATGGTAAGTCAGTCGGTACTGTTCCACACGTTACATGAAGATCTGCCGCAAAAATCACGACAGATGTCATTTGAACGAACATTTAATGCTGAGTAAGGCTTCGCCATTTAAAAACTTTTAAAACTTTGAGATGAGATTCTGGGAAGATCCGACATTTGAGGATTTTATAGGTTCTAAGACGCAATTCATACATAATTATCTCAGAAATGACAAAAGCGACAAACCTGAACGCTTCAGGATATAGACTAGAGACAACAAGGTAGAAATTGACTCATTTAAAAACATTTCAAGATGCGTCATTTCTCTATTGTACTTGTCCTGAGATGGTGAAATCATGAAAATCCATCGTATTGAAATACGTCTTTCGCCATCAAACAGAACTCTAAACTCAAAAGTAATATGCGTATCAGATTCCTCATCTTTACTTTTAGCTAGAAATATAGTTTTTAATTTTTCATATCGCTCCTGTAAGTCTGCTGAGGGCCATCTTTCACAAGCATTACGGCACACTCAGATTTGTCGCGTTTTGTCATTTCTGAGATAATTATGTATGAATTGCGTCTTGGAACCTATAAAATCCCCAAATGTCGGATCTCCCCAGAACCTCATCTCAAAGTTTTAAAAGTTTTTAAATGGCGAAGCCTTACTCAGCATTAAATGTTCGTTCAAATGAGATCTGTCGTGATTTTTGCGGCAGATCTTCATGTAACGTGTGGGACAGTACCGACAGAATTACCCTATAACAATGTTTGTGTTAGAAGAAGTTTAAGAATATGAAACTGCGATTTAATTTGATGTTCAATCATTATTTCTCAAAATAAAACTTTAAAGTAGAAATGTGTCGCTTACTTGTGACACAAGGATCAGTAAATTGAATGATACTTGAAATGGGCACTAATAATTCAATTAAAAACCGTATAGTTTATTAGATAAATGTGTTAACTATAGGATAATACTCACCAAATGATTCTATAATTGTATGATTATAACTTTCTAATGTCATTGTCACTGTTTGCCGTCCAAGAGCGGCACCACATTCATAACGATATTCTGATAAAATAGTTAATGTCACATTTGAGTTTAAAATTGTTTTGATTTGTTTAATTTGATATGCTGTACAGAAGAGAACACACCATTTTGTTGTTGATGTTAATTGACGTTTAACAATACGACTGGCTGTATCACGTCGTCGTCTACCGCATGAGTGTCCGATACACTGATGTGAATTTCCAATACCTATTTGTACGTTGACGCCAGTATTTTCACTTTTGAAAAGAAAACCATCAAAACTTTTATTCTTCTCCCTTTAATATACCTTTAATAAAGGATGTCGTCAAGTGATTCATTGAGATCTTCTCGAAGTATGCTTTATCGTACGTACTTTTTAAATGCTAAGCACAAATCATCACAAAGTTTGTATGAGCCTATAGACTCATCCAAACTTTGTATACAATAGCTGAATCATTAGAAAATCATGATGAGCTTTCAGATTGTAGAGCACATTGATTTACTCTTTACTTCTTTGTTTTCTTTGTACTAAAGTATAGGAGTTGTTGAGATTCGATCCATTTCCTTTGAGTTATAAAATTTTCATGTGCAGATTGCAACTCGAAGGAAATTGATCGAATAGTCTCAACAGCTCTTCCACTTTAGATTAGATCAATGTACTCTACAATCTGACAGTATTAGCACAAGTCTAAATAAAAGTTCGTTATGGTTCTTAAGTGATCCCATGTCTGTAGACTCATTCACACAAGACATACGAAGACTAAAGATGAGTGCTAGCAGTAAATGATTTTTAACGGCGATTTTTCAAAGTTTGAGTACGGCTGCAGTATTCTACGCGATTGCAGGACGTGGGATGACACATATTTCGCATGTATTCGACTTGGGCTATTAGAAAACAGGTTTTCGTCAAGGACCAAGAACTTTCGAAACAGACGGAAAGCCTGTAGGATTTTCGCTGGAAAAGTACCTGTTTCGAAGATCCTAGGCCCTTGACGAAAACCTGTTTTTCTAATCGCCCACGTCGAATACATGCGAAATATATGTAATCCCACATCGTGCAATCGCGCAGAATACTGCAGCCCGTATTCAAACTTTGAAAACAAGGAAAATCGCCTGAAAAAGTTGTTGTTTTCTAGCATTAAGTGTTTCTAATCTCAATCTAAACCACTTCATCGGATAGAGCTTGAAAAGACGCGTCGAATACATATCTTGTTGTCATGTGTTGAGATTCTTTTAAAAATTTTACGGAGAACGCGCTTAACATTTTGGAACATTTTATTCGCTAGTGATTTTATAGCTCTGCACATATAAAATCTAATCTGACGGTACCGGCTCATGAAAGTGTTTCACCAGAAAACGATAAAAATGCCCACAAATGGTCTGTTCTGCTGGGAAACGGGATTTCCTCATGTCTAGAAGGCCATCATACCATTGTTTTAAAATTTTTTAAACATGATATTCGTCATCAGCGGCCCGAGTTGTACTAGTTCTGTTACTCTCGAACAATTTTGACAAGATCGCTGTAAACTCGTGTATGCTTTCGAAAGAATCAGCCTTGAATAACCCGACAAACCATATGTTCATTGTGTTCTCAAAAATGGGAAGGTTCAATGTCGCTAGGAAAACGTGACGGTCTCTACGTATACATTGAATTTAAATGTGAAAACTGTAACAATAAAACTGATCCATCTTCATCACCACGAGTGCCGAATTCTCATCGTAGAGAAGTGAACGTTCGTCTACAAGTTGGTGGTCATCTAGCCGGCATCACACAGGGGGGAATCGCAAAACTTTTTGGCGCTATAAATCTACCACCATCTGTAAAAGAAGAGCATTTCACGGCAACAGAAACCTATCTAGCGCCTTCGATACTCAAAGCACAAGAGCAGTCAATGCAGAAAGCCGTTGAGATCACAGTATCAGACGCGGGCGAGAAAGGAGAATTTGCGGTTAGTTGTGATGGTACTCGAGGACACAAGCGCTCACGGGATTGCTACTCTGTATTCGATAGATAGCTGTCCCAAGATTCTCTATCTTAATCAACTCTCGAAATGTCTCTCAAAGTGTATGGGTATTGAAAGTGTCAAAGAAACGGATTCTGAGTTTTAAGATATTTTTATAAATGGAAAATCACCGTTGTGAGATCAACTATGAAGGTAAAATAAGTCCTGAAACTTTGATTTCCAAAAACCTTATATTCTAATCTTTTAGGTGCGAGCGATTCTATGGGAAAAATGCTGATCCATCAGATGTTCTTCGAATGATCCAGAAATCAAAAAGATCAAACAGGACATGAAAGGTGTCTATTTGTCTGACGGATGAGAACTGACAGGAAAATGACGACTACCAGATCAACATGTGATCAAATTTAAAATCTATTTTACCAAAGCCGTTCGAGAAAATAAAAATCATTTATTTGCGATTATAAACGTTCATGGACCATTTTCAAACACTGCTATTCAACAAATGAAAATTCGATGCATGAGTGGTGTAATGTAAAATGGTGTGAGTATTTGCAACCAATCGTGAAAGATGAATTTTTTGATCATACGAAGTCGACAAGTCTTAGTGTTAGCTTAGACGCCATAAAAACCGACTTTCACCGAATTATGCAGTCTGGAAAGTTTGAGAAGAGTATTGGAATGCGGCTCACAGAACGCCAACACAGCATTTCATTCCATTTTATGGACCATGGTACCAGAACATCGCTACTGTTCGCCAACAATGTTAAGTATCGCTCTCGGTCTCTCTACTATTGTCTTTAATGATGGATATTCAGAGCTCGAAAATTGGTTCAGAAGTGTGTTCGGAGAAGCTGGTTTTTATACGAACGTATGTTTTGGTCGTTATGACGAGGAGAGAAACTATTATTCGTTCAAGATTTGTCAACGAAAAAAGCAACGCAAGTCAAAAATGTCCATTGCCTTATCCGACAAGATTGACGACAATGATGAGGAAGTTTTGTCTTATTTCATCATCGATAAAGATCATCACAATCGAATATCCAGCGATAAATCTACAGATCATTCGAGCAAGATATCCGTTTAACGTAAAAAGCTACTCGTGTTTTAATGATAACTTAAAAATGATGTCCTTATCTAGTTCATTAACCTGTGCCGTTGAGTGCTGGTGACGATACTTTGTTGAGTTCTTACGAATACAGACAATGAAGTATGAGAAAAAAGTTGGAGAACTTTTAGTTTTATCATAGTAATATTTGAGTTATTCAAGAAAATTAAATATTTTGAGAGCTCGAAGCTTTTGTGCATGTCTAAAATCATTAAATTGAATTCTCCATCACCGATAACCTATATATATAGTGTGTTTTTGGACAAAAAAATGTTATTTTGTAGGTAAAAAATGTGTACATATACACACATACACACATGCGGCACATGTTCGAGCATATGCGCAGTGGATTCAGCATGGTCGAAAATCTATGAGAACATTAAAAAAGCTTTGTTCATTGAAATATCACAAAACATTTGACATTTTTCGAAAGAAAAAAGTATTTTGCGTATTTCTCGCAACGCTATTTCTTCTTTCTCACGTTTCGTAGCTCCCAGTTTTTTCGGTAACGACACATCGCCGAGAGCTCGAAAAGATCTCAAATTGAAGCTGACACATGTGGCTAGAGGCTGATACAGCCCAATTTTTGATTTTCGATCTAGATTTGGGATTAGAGAAACATCTTTACCAAAGTTAATGAGACTTTTTCGAATTTTGGACTTTTGACGTTGACCATTATTTTGAAAAGAAAATTATCAAAAATTCGGCGCTATTAGCCTTTTGCTACATGTGTTAACCGAAGTTTACTACAGTAAAATTTTGAGACTTTTTCCCGGTTTGAAATTATTGTGGTAAAAATCTAATTTTAATTTATTGTAGTTGTTACCCAAGCGCCGGTAACGGTAACAGGTATTTATACACTCATCCCTAATGAAGACAAACGAATATTAGGTTCATGAGTAATATCTAAAATTACCTATGATAAAGCAGATTCTGAGAATTACACGATGCTTCATTTGATGAGCAACCGTCGTTAGTGCTTGTCTTACGTTCCTCTACGTCTCGTTATCCTAGTAAAAAACGTTACATTGAATACGGTTACATTCAAACCAACTGGAAGAAATAAATCATTTAACTATCAATAATAAAAAGAATCAATAATTTTATTTTTTTATTTTATTTTAATTTTTATCAAAAACAAACCTGATCTTGAATTGATATAATCATTGCATTCGTTGGAGTTACATTTACTGATGATATGAGTGGAATAAAACTATCATCAAAGATGAATATCAAGTTATTAACTGTATAAACTAGAATATCAATATAACTTTTTTAATTCTATTCCAAAATAAACAATATATAAACTACAGAGTTATATTTTTTTCTTTCCACACATCATTGTTGATGTGTAAAGATATGTATTAAAATTATAGTCGAACAATTTCATAATTTTGTAGACATTTTACAACTTCATCAGACGAATATATTCGTCTGATGAAGTTGTAAACTACAACGAAACGTCACACACTACAAAAGATTTAAATATAATAACATCTTTTCATCTGGAAGAGAAATTAAAATGTCTACAAAGTTATCAACCTTCCTTACAAAACAATAATTTCGTAATTTATTGCTACTTTGCTTTTAAATATACGAGATGTTGAATACCTGCTGTTATATCTGATGGCCATAGAAACGCATGGTTTTTCGTATAAATTGGTATCAATGATAAAGATACTATTAGAGCCAAAGCAATACTACTAGTAGTAACAATAATATATCTAATGATCATTTAAAATTCAATTTTTATACTACAGTATATTGACTGGCGATGTGTTTATACTATTAACATATTTGACAAAAATGTGAATGAAAACTCAATTGTTACAAATTATGGTCATATCAACCTCAAATTATTAAAGTAATATTATTTATTAAATCAAATTCACATTCAATTTTCTTTTTTTCTTCAAGGTATTTTTAGCAAATTAATATGTTAACATATATATTTATACATACCCTAATATATATATCTATATTCAAGTGATAAGTGACCCACGTTAAGATATTGTATGAGTAACTAATTATCATTCGTATTCTGACTCATTACTTGTATGTCACGTTTACAAAGTAGTTCGACAGGCTATTAATCACGTAATGACGTATTATATTCAATATTCCATCCTATTTTTTACTCACTAATTAGATCGAATATTTAAGCATCACTATAAAACGTCCTTGATTTTATACGATTGAATGAAAATTAACGACATATTCGAAAATATCGTTTGCTAAATATGTCAATAATCGTTAAAAAAAATGATCTAGTAAATATCGCTAAAGGATACTTTTTTAAAATCATATATTATTTTCTTCATCAAGATAAACGATATTTATGTTTATGGCAAACATGTAGATCAAATAATATTGAAGAAAAAAAAATAATTATGCTTGATTTTATACACTCAAATCATAGAAAAAAGACAATGAAAAATCTACAAGAATGTATATTGCCTGTTATTGATACTAGAAACAGAAGATTATGTGAAACATTTGCAAATAGTTCTACATCATTGCCGATTGTAGAACAGCGAGGTATCGTTTCAAATGATTACATTGATTCGGAGCAAGCATCATTCGAAGAAACAGCGGGAATTGTTTCAAATACTGACAATCGCCATATGATATGTGTTACATTTAGAAGTTTAGTTTTAGGTTTATTATTTACCATTTTATTATCAACATTAAATCAATATTTTTTATTTAAATCTAATTCTTATTCATTTCCAATTATTTTAGTATTACTCATATCGTATCCGATGGGTAAATTTATGGCATTTAGTTTAAGAAAAAAACCAATTCAAATTTGGCGTTGGTCTATTGAACTTAATCCTGGTCAATTTTCCATCAAAGAACATGCACTTATATTTATAATTGCATTTGTTGCTAATCTACCTACATCAGCACTAGACACTATTGTTATTAAACAAATTTATTATCAATCAAAGACAAACTTTAGTTTAGGATTATTTCTGCTTATTTCAGCACAAGTCATGGGATACGGCATGGCAGGTAAAACTGCTATTTTAGTTCTTTTTTTAATGAATTCAAATTGTCTCTTTGGCACGATCAGATAACTCTGCAACCGAAGTGAAATTCCGTGACAAAATTTTGACCTTTTACTGTGTTTGTATTTTTTAACGAAAGCAGGTACAGTGCTTTGGAACATCTAGAATTGTAAAACAAACCTTTCTCTACAAAATGAGGCGTCTCGAGGCTATGTACGTTTCTGTTTAAAACTAAACGGAAAATACAAAACACCCTTCTCAAGCTTCATTACAGGAAAGTAGCATTTAGTATTTACCGTTTATTGTTTAAACAAAGCAACGTACAGAGCCTCGAGACGCCTCATTTTGTAGAGAAAGGTTTGTTTTACAATTCTAGATGTTCCAAAGCACTGCATCATAGATCAACACTGGCAGGGCTTTTGGACGGACCGAACCTAGCCGGGCTTAGGCCGCAAAGTGTTTTGGTCGGGTCGAGCCGGGCCGAACTCAAAATTTCTAAGCATACCTGGATTTGTAATTTATATGTATCCTCAGTACTGAGAAATAGTATTATCACTGTTAAGCGACACTTAAGGGCCCCCCTCGGAGAAAAAGTCTTTTGTCTTACGTCCGATTTTGATGCTACTTTCAGCAAATGTTTGCCATATCCAAGTGTGGTTATGATATTTTTTTCCTCGCTATCTCTTACTGTTCCGGGGTTTTTCAGAATCCAAGGTCAAAAACCCATTGTCCACTGTGGGTCACTTTTTTTAAATATACTTCAAGCTAGAGATCTCGGATTGGTTTTATTTTAAACTACACATCTAACTGCGTGGGCTGATGGGACTAGATTTTTGATCAAGGTCTTCGTTCGTTTTCGAGAGATCCAAGACCCTCAAAACCCTTTCGGATTTCCTAGAGATCCTTGATTTTCTAGAAAATTAAGACCTAATTCAAAAATCTGGTCCCATCAGCCCACATAGTTAGGTGTGTAGTTTAAAATAAAACTAATCCGAGATCTCTAGCTTGAAGTATATTTAAAAAAAGTGACCCACACTGGGCATGTTCGAACAAAAATCGCGTTTTGAGAGAAAAACGCTGTGCATTCGCTGATCTATTTTAGAATATGTATAAAAATGTTTGTAATTTTTGAACCCAAGATCATACACAGTTGTGCAACGTCTCATTTTGATCAAAAAGGTCTGCTCTGTAAATCTACGCGTCCAGAAAAAAATTATTATGTAATCTAAACCTTTTTATTTTCCAACTAATCGAACTGGCTCATTACATGTTGGTTGAAGTTGAGCAAATGTGACAACAATAACAACAAGAAAAAAAGAGCAATACGTAAAAGAAACAAAGAAAAGTAGAGAAGAGAAAGAAATAAGCAAAAGTGTTGTAAAGTTGGAAAAGAATTTATTTTATCAAAAAAGAAACGTTTTATCTCTTGTTTCAGGAGTCTTCAGGAATCTGCTGGGGAGTACAGTTCTACTTTGGTGGGAAAAGAAAGATCACACATCATTGGATCCGGCGAAAACGTTCTGAATCCTTCAAAAATTTTAAAACAGAAAGATATAGGATTTTAATTTTATCTATTTCGAAAGAGAGCATGTCATTATTTTTAAAAAGTAAATGATCTATTGTTACGTCGGTTATTTGAAGTATAAACTGGAACGTTTTTAATAGTTCTGAACGTTATGCTATATACTTTGCACAAAAAAAGAATAGTGAAGAAAAAAAAGAAGTGAGATGCTGATTCTCTTTTATATCCGCACTCGCATTTCGGGGCAGCCACTATACGTCGTTTAGCCAGACCCTCATTCAGTTGTGTGAAACCCAATCGAAAGCGTGAAAAGTCTATTTCCAAAATTCTTTCAGTCACAGGTGGAAGATTCAATATCTGTAAAAAAGGTTGTTTCATTTTGAATTTAAATGTTGCTGAGTTTTTCGAATTTTTGACATCGATTGATAAGTTGTTCCATAATTGAATATGGTATAAAACTATTCCTGAGTACAAGCAGACCACCATGATGAGCCTGTAGCAGTCCTCGTGCGCAATGGATAACTTACAAGCGTCTGTTGCGGTAATAAATCTCTAAGGAGTACTTGTCCTTTTATCACTTTGTAGAAAAGATATAGTCGATAAACATCGAACATGTCGTATCCTACAGTATTATTTAAAGACCCTGGTTTTCACGACTTCTGGAAAGCTTGCTCGAAAACCACGAAAAAACAGTTCTAGGCCTAAAAGTGATACAGATTCTGAAAGTGGACATCCCAGGCTATCTCTCCATGTGCTTGTCTCCAAGTTGATTTTTTGATGCAAAACGATTTCATTCTGAGGGGGAACCCTTAATGACTTCGTTTAACTGCCTTCAAAGGTTGAAAAAATGAGAACCAAGAAATTATAAGGATATAAATATTAGCTTGAGAAATTCATTTACACCAATTAGCCAGCAAAAGCATTACAGATGCAAGAAAAAACTCACACCTGGGACCAGAAAACTTTAAAAAGTGGTCGGGCTGGGTCAGAAAAGCTTTAGGATTGGTCAATCCGTACGGCTCTCTGTACTGCATGTGCTTTCATTAAAAAAATACAAGCACAACAAAATGTTAAAATTTCGTCACGGAATTTCACTCCGGCAACAACGTCATCTGGCGGTGCCGTCTTGTCGTTTAGGTGTTATGCGTCGATTTTTGATTTGGCCGTCTGAAATGGTATGGCCCGGTAATTTGCCTTATATTGCAATTCTGCGAACACTTCATGAATCTGAGCAGCCATTGAGTCATCGATGGTGTCATTTAACACGTTTAAATTTTTTCATTTTATTTTCTACTTGTCAAATGATCTATTATTGGTTACCTGGATACATTATGCCTGTGTTAACAGCCTTTTCATGGTTATGTATGATTAAATCCGATAATATTTTACTTTCACAATTAACTGGTTACAATGGTTTTGGCATTGGTTCATTACAATTTGATTGGTATACACTAACATCACAATTATCATCACCAATTGTCGTTCCTCGATGGGCACAAATAAATATTCTTGTTGGTTTTATACTCATTGTATGGTTATTTATACCAATTATTTACTATTCAAATCTATGGAATTTAAAACTATTGCCAATATCAAATAACTATTTTTACACTCCAAATGGAGATTATTATCAGATTGATGTAAATGGGACTACTACAAATGAACAGATTCGAGGCACTGTAATCTATGTAGTTGGCTATCATCTATTATTTGCATCATTTATAGCACTTTTTATTCATACATTTATTTATCATGGTAAAGATATTATTAAACAATTTCATACATCGTTAAAAAATCGTCAAAATGATGTTCATTGTCAACTGATGTCATATTATCGTGAAGCACCCGAATGGTACTATTTAATCGTCTTCATCTGTTCATTTATAACAGCCGCCATTGTTTGTCATTATGGTGATCTTATGCCATGGTATTACTTATTTATAGCTATGTCCATTGCTTTTGTATGTCTACTACCAGTCGGTATTGTACTAGCAATAAGTAATTTGACCATAAACAACGTTAATATTGTTACTCTAATAGGTGGCTTGTTAATGCCGAGTAATCCAATTGGTAATCTAACATTTACTGCATTTGCATCTGGAACATTTTCTCAAGCATTAATATTATTATTTAATTTTAAATTTGGACATTATATGAAAATTTCACCGTTCACTATATTTATCATTCAATTAGTAGTAACAATTGTATCAACAATTATCCAATATGCAATGACAAATCATTTATTAAACACAATCGTTGATATATGTGTTAATAATGCAGATTGGATGTGTAAAAATTTAGACACAACGCCTATTTTATTTGCATTAATAGGTAATTGTAGAAAATATCAAATTTCATAAGATTAATCATAACAGCCAAGGCTGTGCGAGTCCGGGAGCAGGCCGAGTCCAAGTCATGAAGCAAGTAAACCGAGTCCAGGGTTTGAAATGCAGTCGCGAATCCGAGTCCAGAATTCATGCCAAGTTCAATAATTTTTTCAAACTTTTTGGTTGTCGCTATTTATATTTCTTTTTTCTCTGATGCGGTGTATACAGTACTCCGCAAAAGTAGCCACACCCCTGTAACTCATGAACCATGGTAGCTAGACTTCTAATTTTGTGTGGTCATAGCTCTCACTGAATGTGGATTATCCACTGAGTTTGGGTTCCTTTTACAGGATTGTTCGTGAGATGTAAGCGATTTATTATTTATTTTCCATAAAATATCAATAGCTCCTGACCTATGAGAGATGACAACTTTTTCTTTCTACTAAAATGTAGCCATAATTCTACTCTATCTACAATATGGCTTTCGTGAGCTGGCTGTTACTGTGAAATACAGCTATTTTGCTAGGATCGCTGTTTTTGTGTTAAAAATTCGAGGTTCTTTGCAGATCACATCTCAGTCTAGGAGCATCATTTTAACTTCAAATTCGTACCAAAGGCTCTACAGTGTCTGTAGATTATCTAGCCAAAGTATGAAGGTTAACTATTGTGTGGTTCTGGAAATTTATTAAGAACCTCGACTGAACATACTTAGAAGAGCGAAGGTGAGGAACTAATAATCGCTCTTTCTACTATAGAATCTGCATTCAATGTACATCATAAACATGAAAAAATAATCATAGAAACCTATGGTTCCGAAAGAGACGTATTTGAAAGTTTTGACAGAAAAATGACACAATCACCTCTGACATTCGCTATTTCACGTATTTTGCGCTCTTTTCACTTCCTTGATATTTTCAAGCAAAACTAACATATCTGAGATCACCAGACAACACTGTGACGAATAGCATACTTAACGTTCGGTTTTTAAATAAAAACACTTTTGTGAAAATTTTCTCTCCATATTAATGCTGAATGTATCATCTTTCTGACAAAACTTTTGAATACGTTTTTCGGAACCATAGGTTTCTATGATTATTTTTTCATGTTTATGATGTACATTGAATGCAGATTCTATAGTAGAAAGAGCGATTATTAGTTCCTCACCTTCGCTCTTCTAAGTATGGTCAGTCGAGGTTCTTAATAAATTTCCAGAACCACACAATAGTTAACCTTCATACTTTGGCTAGATAATCTACAGACACTGTAGGGTCTTTGGTACGAATTTGAAGTTAAAATGATGCCCCTAGAAAGAGTTGTGATCTGCAAAGAACCTCGAATTTTCAAAAGGAAAAGCGGTTCTTACCAGAACTCAAACCCTCTCAGCCCTTAACGCTATACCCAGCTAAATGAGTTGATCATCATTTCGTATCAGAATATACGTTCTTCTAACGTTTGATTATTCATTTAGTTTTGTAGATCTAGCTATTTGTCGACTAATATTAAACCCTTCATATGAAATAGAAAAATTTAAGATGAATACATTAGTTGACGAAAGATCAAAAACGTTTATAAAAGATCTAACTTTCTCTCTTCATTGTCATAAGAATCTAAACAAGAAAGGTGTGTAAATCAAGTTGTAACTTAGTTTTTTACTTCACTATATCTTTCTTTACATGATATAACGACTCCCAAAAATGAACGAATAAAACAGATAAAAATTTGAATTTTAAAATATTTTTAACTTTTTGGCAATTTTTATATTCTGATCGATTTTCTCAAAGTTTAAAAATATGATGAATGTTTTGTTATTTAGATCCACGAAAAATGTTTGGTAAAGATACGATATATGCGTATATGCTTTGGTTTCTGGCAATCGGAGCTATATTACCTATTTTCTTTTGGCTATTAAATAAACTTTATCCGAACAGTAAATGGTTAAATTATGTTCATATACCAATCATGTTTTCTCAACTATTTTTAATTATTTATATACCAATCGGTTTATTTCCATCATGGTTTATAGTCGGTTTTCTATTTCATACTATTATTCGTCGATGGTGGTTCAATCGTTATGCTTTGTTATTTTCAATTGCAATGGATACTGGAGTTCAAATTAGTCTGTTTTTTCTATTTTTCATTTTGATAAATCGAAACGTACAATTTCCACAATGGTGGGGAAATAACAATGATTTTTGCCCGTTTTCATATGCAAATTTTTATGGAAAATTTTAATATTTTAGCGAAGCAGTCATAATTGACCAATAAAATTAATTGTTTATTTTTAAATAATACACTGTACGTTTCGGTCTCTTCATAGACCGAAATGGCTCTATAGAGTCATCGTATACGAAGAGACCGAAACGTAGAGTACATTATTCAAAAATAAATAATTATTCGTCAATTATGGTTGCTTCGCTATACTATTACTTATTCCCATTATTGGCTCTAACATCATCAAATTACGAAAAATTTTCCAACTAACATGCCAGTAGTCAAAAAGATGATAACAGTTGAACTACTATCTGTATCAAAATATAATGGACTCCGATATTTCGCTTATAACTTTTTAACGGTGAATGCTACAGACTTGCGGTTTTCAGTTTCTGAAACTAGACACTGGGGCACGTAGATCTGTGAAAAAATCATGGCGTTCGATCAGGTTTACCATGGTGTACCATTCGAGGCAAAAT